GGAGATTTGGTAAGTTTGAGTAGGTGTCTGTTTTTGATCTAATACTCCAAATTTAAATGTCAATGAGACTCAATAGATCATCTAAATCAGCTACATTATAACAGGTCAAGATTATTCTAGATCTTTATAGATCTATATTTATATATCATCAATTATAATATATCTAGTCTACTCTAGTTCTAGATAATCTAGATATAATACTGATTGGATAACAGATTTTTAATTTTATATAGATAGATCTACGATCTAGCTCTGACTCTAGATCTAGATTTTCATCATATTATTTATTATCAATATATATAATTATCTTCATGGCTCAACAGTTTGGACAAGAAGAAGTAAAGAAAAGATAACTCTTTTATTTCTGCAACTCGGACTAGAGTTACCCCACGTAACTTGAACAGCGAAAACAAAGAGAGAGGTGGGAGAACAAGTAGTATTCACCCGTCACTAAATAGCAGGGATGGACTATTTGTATTAGAATTTGTATTAGAAAATAAATTCGTCTTTGCATTTTATTAATTCTTTACTATGTACAGAATTACTTTACGAGCCTTGCGTGTAGCGAAGTCATACAGTATATCATAAAAATTCTGTTTCCAACATAGATCACATACAATAGCAAGAATTACCAAAATGTTTCAATCTATCTTCGAGAATTGTTAACCTCAAGTAATTCTTCATTAGTTTGAGGTGCGAGGAGCTTCTTTCACCAGATTCCACAATTACGGGTATTGCATAATGCCCTTTTTTGTTTTTTTTTATCCCGCGTAGGATTGGCGTTTTCCATATAGAATGACACCCCAAAATGACAATTTTTGTCTATATATTTCAGGAGATTTTTATGAGTTTTCAAAAGATTTTAATTATTTCCGGAGATTTCCTGGATATTTTTGCATATTTTGCAATTTCATAAAATTTCCAGGAGCTCCTGGTAAATCAGGAGGCCATAGGAAATGTTATAAGTTATAAAATGGTTTAATTTAATAATAATTTTAATATTTTAATAAAGTGCGGGGCCAACTGCTATCACATAGGTAGCAGTGTCCTAAGGCCAACACAAAATAGTGGCATATGCTACGCCGAGGGTCGACTAGTAGTAATACTAAGTATATTAATATTATATTATTATTTTTTATTATTATTTACATAAGTATTATAAGACATAATTCATTGTCATAATAAGAAGATCAAAGACTGTGTCTGAACTGATGAAGAGTATTGCATTAATTAATTAAAGTTAATTATTAAGCTACCTTCTTGGAATAGAATACTACAGATCTAGGCCAGATCTAATCTAGAATAATCTAGATCGATATAGACTATTTTTTATAGATCTATTAGATCTAGATCTATAGACTGAGTATAGATGTAATCAAGTATTGTAGCTTAATCTAAGTTTGTTGTCAGTGTTCAAGTTTAGTAAATAAAGGGAGGACCCGAGAGATTGCAAGGGATGCTACTCTGGAAAATACTAATAAAGTTGTTTTTTTTATTTTTTTAGTTGATATGAGTAAGACAAAAAATAACGAATAATAAATAAATAATAGAGTCTAGATATTGTAATATGATTAAACTAATGCAATATCTTATCTTAATATAGATCTAATCCTATCGCTGGGGTTATTTTGTTTAGCTATTACAGTTTCTGCGATATATTATAACATCGTCTAATGAAAATGAGCCCTTTAAGTGTTGCTCCATTTTAATGTAATATTCTGAGTTATTCTCTGAGTAGTCTATATTTAATGTGTTCTGTTTTGTTTTTTTTAATGAATGCACCCAGATGGATTCCTCTCTTTCCTGTTGGCATGATTGAAAGATGCTAAGCATTAGGGTACAACCATATTTTTACCATAGACATGTTTTATGTCTATGGGTACAACGGTACAACCAACTATGTTACAGTATCGGTCTGAAGAAAGAAAAAAAAAAACTAAGCTCCCAAGCCTTAGTAGCTGGACTTCTGACCTTATTTTCCCCTTTAGCCTCAAAACAGCGGAGGGTTTGAAGCTACATCATTCTTCTCAGAAATAAAATTGCCATTCTAGGGTACTAGGCATCTGTGCATTAGCTTCACAATTTAGAGGTATCAGCCATCTGCATTCACTTGTCATAAAGTAGTTTCGCTTAAAGCTTAAATATTTTTAGTGTGTGTGTGTGTATATATATATATATGTCACAGGCAGCTACTGTCGGAGGTGTGATGGAGAAAAAGAGAACAGCCACGGATTGAATGTGGCAAACTATATGTAGGTGACAACTAGAACAATTAATTGAAATACTGCACTCCTCCCTAACCTTCATGCTCAAAGACAAACCAAATTAGTTTACTGGACAGGTTCTAATGTCAGCACTTATAGGTCCATATGTTTTGTATTAAAGGCACCCGCTCAGTCGTTGCAATCTATGTTGGCAGCTTATGTAAAGCTCATGTGTTTCTATGGCTGACAGTTTAAATGTGTGTTATGTGGCCAGTACAATGAATAAATTTACTTTCCCAATATATGTCCGGTGCCCATTTGAGTTGGGTCGACTCTTTTTAAGATCAAAATCCTAGTCTTCGCAGAGATTACTCAAAACTCCTTTGATTGTAAACCAAGCACTTTACTACTCAGCCACCACACCCATGCTTTGTATCTTCTTATCTTATATAATACAGACGTTACTTAAAAAAAGAAGATGATTACGTCCTACGCGTCATGCATTTAGTCATGCATATTAACCAATGACTTAAATTCTGCCAAGTCACTGGTTTTCCTGGCTAGCTCAGGCAACCCATTCCATGCTCTAATAGCACTAGGGAAGAAAGAGTATTTGTACAAATTTGTCCTAGCATATGGGACGAGGAATGTGCCTTTATCTTTGTGTCTTTCAGAGTATTTTATTAAATTTTGTTTTTGTATTTGAAGATTATGGTTCAGTGTTTTATGTATAATTGCTACTTTACTTTTGAGTCTTCTGTCCTGAAGGCTTTCTAAATTTAGTGATTTTACTATAGGTGTTACTCTAGTCAAATGTGAATATTCATTTGTTATGAATCTCACTGATCTATTTTGTGTCTGTTCCAATTTCTTAATGTTTTCTTGAGTTGAGGAGTACCAAACGGAGGATGCATATTCTATTATTGGCCTAACCAAGGTTAAATAACATTTTAGTTTTATGTATTATTTGATTTATAGAAATTTCTTTTAATAAATCCTAATGCTTTGTTTGATTTTTTAAATAGTTTTATCAATATGTGGATTCCATGACAGTTTTTCATTTATTATAACACCTAGGTATTTTGCATTTTTAGTCTGTGTTACTGGTTTGCCATGAATAAGATAAGTGGAATTAATTTGTTTTAGTTTTTTTGTTACTCTTAACAACTGACATTTTTCTGGGTGGAAAGACATGCTCCAATTTGATTCCCATTTCTGTAATTCACCTAATTCTCTTTGTAAAATATCTGTGTCTTGTGTTGTTTTTATTGTTCTATATATTATGCAATCGTCTGCAAATAATCTGACTTTTGTTCCTGAAGTAATGCAATTTGGTAAACCATTTATAATAAATAAATTAAAAATAGTAGTGGACCCAAGACTGTTCCTTGAGGTACATCTGAGTTTACTGTTTATTATTAGAGTTTGTTCTCTCCCTATCAGAAAATCTTTAATCCACTGATGCAGTGGACCATTAATGCCAAAATATTTTAATTTTTTAAGCAAACTATGGTGGTGAACTTTGTCAAAAGCCTTAGAAAAATCTAGTAAGATAGCATCTATTTGTTCACTATTATCTAAACCTTTAGAAAAATCATCAATTAGTCCTATTAGTTGTGTTTCACATGATCTATATTTCCTAAAGCCATCTTGGTATGGTGTGAGGACATTTTGTTTGTCTAAGTGGTTTATGATGTTGCTACATATTATGTGTTCTAGGATTTTACATGTGATGCTGGTAAGTGATACTGGTCTGTAGTTTCCTGGGTCAGATTTTTCTCCTTTTTTAAATAGGGGGGGGGGGTGTGACATTAGCTTCTTTCCAGTCCTTTGGTACTCTGCCCTGGTTAAGTGAAGCCTGAAAGAGTATTTTGAACACTGGGGCTAGCTCATTGCTTTGTTCTTTGAGTAATCTAGCTGGAATACCATCAGGTCCAGACGCTTTATTTGGTTTGGTGTTGGCTAATAGTTTTTGAATTCCATTTTCTTGTACTACTATATCTACTATGTTGTCTACTTGGTTCAAATTCAGTAATATGTCTTTGTCTCCTGGGGCTGAGAATGCTGATGCAAAGTATTTGTTTAGGATGTTTACTTTAGTTTCATTATCATTATGTTATGTTCATCTTTTAATGGCACTATGCCTGTTGTTTCCATTTTCTTAGACTTAATGTATGACCATAGGTTTTTGTTGTTATCTTTAGATATTACATTGTTTATGTATTCACTCTGCAGCTGTCTGCTTACTTTTTGGGTTAAATGTTTAATTTTTATATACTTTTTGTAAACTCTTTCTGCCTTAGTTTCTTTAAATTTTCTATATAGGTTTTCCTTCTGTTTACAAAGCTTCTTTAGTCTATTATTAAACCAGCATTTATTTATTTTGTTTGATGTGTATTTAGTTGGTATATGATTTTCTATAATGTATGAAGACAAGTCATTTCCATTGTACTTTTCTAGCATCAAATGTAGTCAGCCTTGTTAAAGATCAAACAACCTAAGTCAACTAAAACTTCTAATCCAATTATCATTTCTTAAGAGAAACAGATTTAATCAAATTAAAACCAGAGTCAGTACAAACTTTCAGAAGAAAATTTATCTTTTAAAGTTTACAAATGTAACATAGACCAGAGTTGCAGTAATAAATGTCTCAAATAAATGTGAATTTTCGTTTAAAACAAAACTAAGATTAGTTATCCAAAATTTATTTATTCATTTAAAGAAGAAATGTCTTAATTGAAAATAATATTTTTTTAAAAATGCAACCATCATTAAAATAAAAAAAAAGAACTACAAGTTTTAATCTAATAGTTTTATTGAAATAAAAAAAAAATGTGTGTTGTACAAATCAAAGAGTATACTTCAAGAGTTATCATTGCCCACATTCAATATAGTATTCATTTATATTTTGACATAAGCTTTAACTAACAAAAAGATATTTTAGATTCCAATACAATTCAATAAACTCTGACAGTGATTCATACACAGTGCAAGCAAAGGCATGGGAGGGGGGGGGGGATAAGGCAACTCTATATCAAGCAACTACAATGTGTATATCGACAGGATTAAATAAACAATGAATAAAAATAACGAGAAATTTGTACTAGTGAAAAAATGATTTGAAACAACTTTATGCCAAATACAAGGGATACTAGTGAGACAGTTAACAATTTAAAGAGATGATAACAATTTAAGTGAGTAACAAGATAAACTTCAGCTGCAATTATCAAGGGTTTGTACAATACTAAGAATCTGAAGTAAGTAAATTTCTTTAAGTCTATAGCCCCAGTTTTCACAGCATAGAGTTTACAAGGATGTTATGTCATGAGTACAGTGATAAGAGAAATAGACAGTAAAAATGTCAATTCCAGCCTGACTAACTAAAGCCACCAAAACCCTTATAATAAAGTAACCTTTTACAGTCAATGACTGATCCAGTTATTTTAGAAAGTCATTAGCAACCAGGGTACATGTCCATTACTCATGGTGAATAAATTCTATTTTATAGTGCAATTGGAATATACGAACATGTACAGTCATTAATGTATGTTTTTTTTTAATGATGAATCATAACTTACATTGTGGCAAGGAAAATTTTGTAACAGAACTATCATACTGAGGAATGAAGGGTACAAATAATTAAAGACAAGTTTGTGAGATGTTATAGACTAAACCAATGAGCTCTTTCCCCCTTAAGGCTGGGCACATAACACATTCGACATTCTGTCAAGTGCATGAAGAAGTGTGTCAGACCAACATCACCAGCCCGTAGTTTTATTTACAAACAGATAAGCATGTAGTCAATATCTTTCATAAAATTAGGTAATCAACAACATTCATCAAGCTTTTTTTTTTTTTTTTTTTTTTTCTTACTTCATTTCTTTCATGTGCAGACTTTCAAAGACATCAACAACAAACAAAAAGAAAGTTCAAACTACTTTATAAATAACAGCACCTCTAAACAAGGGAGGTGGAGACAAGTCTAAAACATTGCCTAAAGTATACACATGCCTCAACTACAACAAACACTATACAGAAGGTGATATTATAGAACACAGATCTAGATGAGGATGTGTTATTTACAATGTATTCAAATATAAATGTGACACATTGTTGAACAACTGTAAAAAAAAAAACAAAAAAAAAACTGAAATAGAAAAGAATACAACCAATGGTAGAAAATAAAATCAAAGTCCAGTTTGTGCAAGTTTTTGTTTTTTTTACTGCCTGAAAAAGCTGAGGCTTGTACATGTTTTTCATCAACTAGAAGTAGCAGAGTATATAAGTACAATGTCTCAGTAACACCAACAACATCATGGAGTGTCACAAGGATAACTATTTAGTGTCACTCATTTGGAGATTTTGACAATGGAAAGAGTCAAAGAAAGCTGCCCTCTTGACCATATAACAACTCCACAAGAAACTACAAAAACTACCTCACTTAGCCTTTCATATTAAACTTGACATTTGTAGTTAATATGTAATATTCTAATCTCTCTTCCTGCCTTTCCTTATCCATGTAAAGCTGTCATTAGAAATAAGAAATAAAAATTACGCTAATTTTCCAGGCTTATGCAATAAAGCCTGCCACACATTGCTTTTTCTCAAAACATTGTTAGAAGTTGTAAGACCATTCTATGGATACAGCTTGTCAGTCCAATGTGCAGAAATAAGACAATGTATAAGCAAGTCAAAGTAAGACAATGTAGTGAAAGCTATCAGAGCACATTAACATAATGTGAGAAATGTGACAACACAACATGGTAGCATCAAACGATTCAACAAACTCATTGAGATAACAAAGAAATATGAGCTTCTCTAGCACCACACAAATGGTACTGAATGTCACAAACATTTAAAAAAAACAACTAACAAACAATATATATATATAGTTTTTGCAAATAAGCCACTAAACAATTTGAATAATACAAAACAATTAAATGTAAAGTAAGTATGAACATTTATGTTACATGTATAGCATTTCTTGTAAAGAAACAAATTTCACATTCCTGATAGTAGGGTTTAGAAAAGAGAACTTTTTCTCTCTAGCTACTAACATTGGGATTTTAATACTGTTGCAAATGAAATAAGAGTAAACTCATTGGTTCTCTTTGTTACATGACTGCCAAGTAGCCTTTGAAAAATCTTGACGGTCTTATAACTCAGACTAAAGATTAAACAAAACAAAACTAGGAACGATTCTTTCAACTCTCTCAGTCACCATGGCAATGAATTAGCTACAAGATAAAGTTTCTAATAACACAACATATTCCTCCCTAACTTATGTATATATTCTCTACATAATTTACCTGCATATTGTAAATGCAAAAGCATAAAACAAAATGTAAAACTTGGAACTCAGTAATTAAAAGCAGTGTTATTAATCAAAACCTTTTGAAAATGTTTAACGATCCTCCAGCTTCCCATAGACTATCAAAGAGATCAACAAGTCAACATGCCTAACCCTCCCATTACAGTAAGCACAAGCCAGTTAGAGTAATGTGAAGCACAGAGACCATAAAACAAAAACATGCTGTCTCATTGAAATAGTGTTCCCCCCCCCCTTTGTATTTTGGTCAAGAATTAATTACCTTTCATAATATCATGAATAAAAACACTTATCTCTTTCAAAAAAAAGTCACAGTGATACAATGATTAAGAAATTGTCAACAAGATGATTACAACAATATCATACATGCTGGGGAAAATTCTGCACAACTTTTTTTTTGTCAAATACAAGTAGCTTTTCTCACTGGTCATGACACTATTAAAATATTGTTAGCATACGAGAATACAGTCTGAGCCAAGCTAACAACTGCTTCTAGAATTTCTTTAACTATCTTGAGAATATAGGAGCCTTAACGGTATCTGCGATCATCATATTTTTTTCTATAGTCATCTCTATCTCGGTAGCGCCCAGAATCTCTGTCTCTGCTTCGGTCCCTATCTCTGCTGCGACCATAGTCTCTGCTGTCCCTGCTACGTCCAGAGTCCCTGTCCCTGCTACGATGCCTGTACCTATCTCTGTCACGACTTCTGTCTCTGTAACGCTCCCTGTCCCTATCTCTGCACAAATAAGAAAACAAAATGTAAACATGAACATCAGTTTGCTGAATGTATGAAATAATTCAAGATATAATATGCACCATTTTTCTTAACTATCCAACAGGATCAGGAAGATTCATTAAAAAATAATTGACACAATTGAATAAAAAATCTCTTTTAAAATTAGTTAATGCTACGTTTAGGCTTAATTATTTTCATAGCAGCACTGTGAAGTTTTGATAAATCTCATATCTATAGAATATGCTTCATTCTTCTTTTTATCTTTCTTTAATCCTTACTTAACATTTTAAAAGTTCTAATATAACTATATTTGTTCTTAACAGCCTAGTAAAGCACTTTTTTTTTTTAAATACAAATTTAACTTTTTGAATTTTATTTTGTTTTATTCCTAAAATTACTTTTAGTATTGAATATTTAATTGGAGTTGAGTCTTTTTAGGGCTGCTATATATCTATTAATTTTTTTTAATTAATTTATTTTTTGATGTTTTATTTGGAATATTAGTTTATATCTAACACAAAAAAAAAAAAAAAAACAATTTAAAGATTAAATAATAATAATAAATAATAATTTGAATCAATCATGGTAATCAATTATCTGTAAGAAGGTTTCCGTGTTGCATATTCAAAAGCAATTATTAAAAAAAAAGGTTTGCTGAAGTCTAAATTCAAACTTCTTGAGTCTCCATGTTTTGCCATTGAGCTATTGAAGTACTTATAAAAACTGAATGTTTTATCAGTCTATTGTTAGTCTGAAATTTTTATTGAACAATCTGATTTTCTTCTCTCCTTTCCTTATAAAATAAATTTAATTAACTGGTTAATTTATTTATTGATTCATGTGTTGTCATCGACAATGAATAATTGTGCAAAGTTTCAACTTGATCAGAGAATGGGAAGTGGGAAAAATGATGTATAAAAGATTTTGACTAGACAGACAGATGGAGTGAGTTGATATAGGCGAGGTTTAAAAAAAAAGGCTTTTAAAACAACAAAATGTGTAAAGCAAAACAGAAGTAAACAAAACTATGAACATTTATATTTACCATCATTTTTTACAATTTCCATGATCAATTTGTATCAATCACATCAAAATGTCTTTTCTCAGAATCAAAGAAATAATTTTAAAATTTATTAAAACAGTATGATTTTTTTTAAATTTTGCTTTGAGATAACACATGGTTAAAGAGAAGTATTATATTGCTAAACTGACAAACCACAAAGCAATAATATAAAGAAATAGAAGAGCTAGATACATGAGAGAAACTAGTGGAGAGAGTAGGACTGGGACATTTCATGTGGAGCAGCGCCCTGAGTTAATTTAACACAATTTATTACTCTTAAAATAGTGTAAAAACACAAAGTATTACTCTCTAATTATAGTACATTTATACCTATAAAAGAGAGGGCTTTTTCAATAAATAAGTTAATAAAATAGCAACAGAAAATAGTATTAAGTTCAGCACAAACTTTAAGGTTTCTCCCTCTTACATTTGGTCTATGTGAACAAAAAAATTGAAGTTTTTTATTTTAAAAGAATTATACAGTGGGATAGATGAACAAGTAAGTGCATGTGGTGGCTTAGTAGTAAAGTGCTTTCTAACCAGGGGTCCCGGGTTCAAATCCTGGTGAAGACTAGGATTTTTTAATTACTGGATCTTTGAGCATTTCAAAGTCCACCCAGCTCTATTGGGTACCTGACATTAGTTGGAGAAAAGTAAAGGTGGTTGGTTGTTGTGCTGGCCACATGACACCCTTGTTAACCATTACGCCACAGAAACAGATGACCTTTACATCATCTGCCCCATAGGCCACAAGATCTGAAAGGGGAATTGCTTTACTTTTAGAAGAACAAAGGTGGTCCAACATATTCATTGATATTGATTATTTCCTTATAGAATTAAATTTAGTGAATGTATAAAAAAAATCTAGAATACGTAAAATTAACAGTCCACAAATTACTAGAAAAAATAATACAAAATACTAGTACACCTTACCGATCGTATCGGTCTCTGTCCTCACGATGCCTGTATCTATCACGGTCAGCATCCCTAGAACGCGACCGACGTTCCCTGTGGCGGTCACGAGACCTGGACCTTGATCTATCCCTGCGGCGGTCGTAATCCTGGTTCGTAGATGTTGTAGGTTGGGTTTCCTTCGAGGCTCGAACATCTGAGCCAAGATGTGAAGATGATTGAGACAAAAGGGGCTTTTCTTGCTTATCTTCTGTAAATGCTTGGACTGAAAGATTCATTTCAACAGTTTCACACACAGACGAGTCACTGGGATGGTTTTCTGATAACGTTCTGGATACAAGAGGTGATTCCTTTACACATGATTCCTCAGAAGTATTACATATATTAGATGTGCTAGTTCCACAAGGTTCAAGTAAACTAGTCTCATCTCTTTCAGCTTGAGATACTAAAGATGATTTAGGTACATATGAGTCTTGAGGTTCCAGCTGTTCTGTAAAAGGTATATCAACAGGGTAAAGTTTTTCATCTGGACCCTCCCATGCTTCTAAGATATCAGCCTCAGTTCTAGTTGGTTCAGATTGATCCAAATCACCATCTTCAGCTTGTGATGGCATTACAGGTTCTGATGTTTCAAGTAGATCCATAGATTCATCTGCAACAGAATCAGCCTGCTGATCACCCAATTGTGAAGAAAATGCTGAAATACTAGAGTTGGATTCCAGCAATGCTGCTGACATGTCTGAACCAATAGGAGTGGGTACAGAAGTTACAGGTAGGCCAACATTGTCAGAAGCAGCATCAAGTGAAGACTCACTCACTCCTATGTTCGT